ATTCCTATAACCAAAACAATAAAGTTTGAATTTTTATCTATGGGTTATCTAAAAGTTGAAATTTTGATTTGTGGGTTCTCAATTTCAGATCACAATCCAACTAAAAGTTCAAACTTTGATTAGTGGGTCATCCATTTCAGATCACAATTCAAAACCTTACCGTTGCTTCAATGAGAAAAGCTTCGAGATTCGAAGAATCGATCTTCGCCGCAGCTTCAGGCAAAGACACTTTAGGCTTCTTCTCCTTCTTCGGTTTCTTCTTCTTAGCCTCCTCCACCTTCATCGTCACCGCGATCTCATCACCACTATCATCGAAATCATACCCTTCGTCACCGTAACCGTTGGATCTGCGTTTAGATCTGAACTCATCCTCCTCTTCCGAAACAGCCATCTTCGCCGCGAGGATCCGTTTCCTCCGATCCTCAGCTTGCTCCTCCAGCGAACGGAATACATTATCGCCGTTAGCTGCGTTTCCGTTGGGAGCATTTTTGCCGTTAGTCGCCGTCTGATCGGCGGGTTTCTGTTTGCGGTTGCGTTTCGGGTAGACGACTTTCTTCCAGCCGTGGTCGACGTGGGAGTTACCGTTGGAGATCTCGAAGCCATTGTAATCGACAGATTCGATCGGATCCATTTTAAAAAGTTTTATCGAGGATTCTCTCTCTCTCTAAAGGCGTGAAAAACAGAGACTAAGAGTAGACGTGTGGAGATTTGACCCTGAGGAGGGAAGAAAATGGGTTTATATATATAGTCGAAAATAAAGGATAATGAGAATTTGGGATTTTGGTTTTTTCTTTCGTTCTTAATAATGTATTTTAAGTTAATTGTTTAAGGATTAACTGATTTATTTTCTCTAGAAATGTAGAGAAGGCTAAAACGAAATTATGAAGAATATCCCAGCCCTCTGTTGTAAAAATATTTTCAAACATTTTGTTTAATTTAATGGAAACTAGTGGCGCCGGTTTCTTATGTTTTTTTTTACACAAATTTACAATTCATATTATAGTCTTAGTAAAGAACATATGTTCAAAAATATAATATTTTTAGATTCATTTAGTGATCGTCGTGTGTATTGTTTGGTTTTTTAGTTGCTTAGTACGAAGGAGAATAACATAAGTGATTTTGATTAATTGATTCAATAAGAGTAGAATAAAAAACTGATAGTAATATCAAAGGAATTTAAACATATAGTAATTGTTTTATTTAAAGAACATATTTATACTGTTGAGTACCGTGTGGGCAATATACAGAAGGAACAACATTTGAAATTTTATTTTAGAGACTAACCTGAATTTCTTACCAATAAGTAAGGTAATTAAGCTCATCTTTATCTGTAAGCAGTAAAAGAAAGTTTTCTATAATTTATTATTTGTAGCTCTGATTCTGCTCTCCATAATAGATTCAAATAACAAAGCAGGCTCAAATATATGGCCATTGCAAGTTTTTTTTGTGTGGTTGCATTTTATTACTTTTTCTAATTTGTTTACCATAAAAGTAAAGATATTATAGACTTATACTGTCAATTAATAAATACTATTGATTTTTAGCTTAAAAATTATTTTGGAGACGAAAACTTAAAATAGGTTACTGGAATTTCCCTAAGTATCTATCTATAATAACAAAGTTGGGTTATCTGTCCTCTTTAGGCTATTTTCTCTGGGTCACCGGATTTACCGGTTCAACCGCAGGTATGGATCGTTTTTCAAAACACTGCCAAAATTTAAAAATCCGCAAAAACCCGTAAAAAATCAGTAAAACCCAAAACCTGATACCGATTGAACCAATAAATGATGTTTACTTTTTTTAAACCTTATAAATTTATAATTATATTTTTAAAATCTGTTTTGTAATATATTTAGGAGTTAGGTTTTCAGTTTTATTTTTCGACGTCTTCCTTTTTCTTTCCTCTGTCTACTTTGTATTCATTTTTGTGTGTTTTGGTTTTTTATTATTTTGCTTTATCATTAATCTACCTTTTTACCTGTTATAAGTTCTAAGTTCTAGGATGTTTAAGTTTATTATTCTTGATATTATTTGTTAGATGTCAAAAGTTTTTTCAAGTTACAAAAAAATATTCTAGCCTAAACTATTTTTAATGTTTTATATGTCAAATGAAAACAATATATATTATTAATAATAGAATTAATTAATTAGTTAACCTCTGGTTCATCCGCGGTTGACGCGGTGACCCGGTAAGTCGTCTGATTCAGTGTTTGGGTCGGGTTTCAAAACATTGGAAGAAACCTAAAATTATGAAGGATTTTTCATAGAGTTTTTAAAGGCCCATCATAAATTATAATAATAGCTCAAAATTATATAAATAGCCCACTACGATAGAATCATGAGGTAAACCAAAATCAATTAGGAATGGTTTAGTGAACTGACACGTGGCGGAAAAACCCCCTATGTAAAAAAATGAGGTGGATAGCCTAAGAAGGCAGATAACCCAACTTTATTACTATAGATATAAACATTCTATCAGTGTTTTTAAAGCCCGAACAATTATTAATTTCTATTGAAGTCGTATTTGTCAAATTATACTAGGTGGTTTCCTGCACCATGTGCAGAAATAAAAATTTTAAAAATAAATTTATAGTTAAAAATAAAATTTAATTAAGTTTTAAATTTATTATTTTATTACATTATTAATTTTACATTAATTATATGTAAAAATTAAGAGAAAATAAACAGTTTTATTTAAATATATGACAGTTCTCTCAAATAGAACTTTTTTTAGATTTTTTCACAAAAAATTATTAATAAAAATATATATAATTATAAAAATTTGAAAACAAAATTATTAATAAAAATATATATAATTATAAAAATATACTTATTTCAATATTTGTAATATTATTATATTTATATTTCTACTGTTATATTATTTATTATCTTAATGATAATTTATGAGTTCTTTTTCTTATCATTATTTTAATACAAACTTTTGTTTAATCAAACATAAATAGTAATATAAAAATATTTTTGTTTATTTTAAATTATATTTAAGAATATGCATGTATATATTTAAAATTATAATCTTAGATAATTTTTTATCTATTTATTTTAATTAAATATATTAAATAAATTTGTAGAAAATTTTATAATTATCAAAAATTAAAATTAGAAAATATTTATTAAATTTTTAAATATATAAGAAATTAATAATTTTACAATTAAATTTTAATAATTTTCAAAAATGTATACATTTTTGAAATTTTTGTAATAAAATTGTATAGTTTTAAAATATATAATGAATTGATATTTTCGAAATTTTTAATGTCATATTGGTATATATTTATTTTAATGATGATTTATTAGTTATTACCATTGTTCAAAAACTCGGCTTAGGCGGCCGGAAAGTCGCCGCAAAAACGTGGTGCGGCCGGGAGCCGCCGCGATTTGACCTTAGGCGTTCACTTAATCGGAAAAGTTGAAGAAATCATATTTTTGGTAGATTTAGAGGCCGAAACTGAATGTTTTCTGATAGATTTGTTATATTTGATTAAAACATACTAGGTTAGCAATTAAAACAATGGAAATCGCAAAAAGAAAAAAAATGGTGGCTGTAGTTAGAACTGGAATTCGCAGATCTAATGTAGAAGAGAAGGCTAATTTCTTAATTTTTATTTCATTTGACCTAAAAGCTGATAAAATAAACAAAAAACGGTTGGAAGCTTCGAACCCACGACCTATGAGACATAACTTAACACTCTGACCACTACACCATGCGTGAACATTGTTATTATTTCACATATTTAATATATTAGTGCATAGAAATGTATATAATGATATAAAAATTCCTCCCCGATTAATCCCCGTATAATATCCGATTAATTGACTAGGCGCTAGGCCCTCCTCGACCGCACGCGTAGCGCCTAGCGAGTTCTCGAACATTGGTTATTACCATATTTTAAAAATATTTTCAAAAATATAAATTGACATTAAATGTAATATATGAGTTGTTACCATATTCTATAAAGTTTTCCAAAAATATATATTTACATTAAATGCAATTGTCTATGTCATATTTAACCATATGTCATGTCATCAATTCTAATAGACATGTCACCATTTTTTCTGAAATTGATTATAGAGAGGACATGTGGCAAAATCACTTCACAAATAATGTATAGGGGATTATTCTAAACGGGTAAGATTATTTTTCAAGAGTTTGTTATAGCTTTTTTTGACACAATCTATCATGTCAACTTTTGTGTTATTATTATCGATACTATTGAATAAAAGAGAAGATCTAAAATTTGGATAAAGTTTCCAGTGTTGATCTTCCTCTTTTGTCACCAGGATCTTGGTTTCAGTTTTTGAATTTTCAAACCATCATATTTTTGTTCTTTCCATAGTTACAAAGCTTAATATATAGCATAATCTTATACATAATGTTTTAATATACAAATGCCATTTTCATTTTACTTTTACATATCCCGCCTATACATAATCAAACTTTTATACCCTATAAATTAAAATGAACAAATATTCAAAATATATCTTAAAAGTATAACTAAAGATCACCATTCTCCAAACTAAACACCATTGAGTTATTTTAGAGAGTTAAAGCTTAGGCAGTGGTGGTCGAATAATACTGGTTTGTAACCAGTCATCAAAGCAAAAACCAAAAAGGAGGTTCTTTGAGATGTATTTACAGTTCATGTGCGTCTTCATCTTCTTCCCCTGGTAAGTAGTATCAATACACCATACTAGTCGCATTGATGCTAGCTCTCTCTCTCTCTGGTTCTTACCAAAGTTTTATAAACTTTACAGGCTACTGCTATGGTCACCATTTTCTCAACTTCACAAAGTTACCGAGAGATCCATCTATGAAGTATATCCTTGGGACAAACCAAAAGACCATCTACAATCAAGAACGGTTACCTCCAGTACCCATTTGCAAAGCCAGAAGACTATGAGTCATAGTCTATGACTATTAAGAAGCTTGTGACTGTATTAGTTAACATGAAGACAATGTAATGACTTGTGCAGGCTGTTTTACTCAAAAGCATATAATAAACAGAAAGAGCTTTATTGTCATTATGGGAAAAAAAAAATTATCTTTGACTCAAATTTAAACAGTCTAAATTTCTCAACACTGACTATAATCAGAGAGTTAACCTCTGCTTATCATCCTCAAGTTGTTTTTGTTTCTCTCTCTCTTAATTCTTCAAAGCTGTGATGATTGGGTTATAGTATTGGTGCAGCTCCAATGAGTCCACCAGGTTTTTCAGCTCGGATGTAGCCTCAGGGTTGGAAGACAGAAAAGCTGCTCCTGCAGCAACTAAAACCACAACAATGGCTGTTCCTTTGAGGAAGCCACTTCCACGGGAGAGTTTCCCTGATATCACTTTGCAGGACTTGTCAGCTTCTTTGTAAAGAGAAGCATTGTCTCTTCCTTCAGTGATGGCTTCCTCGTTCTAAAACATCAAAGGTAAGGTCAGATATGATATTACAAGCGAGTGGGTGGGTACTGACATCAGTTAGTTCAATAGAGTAAGAGACATTATTACCTTTAGCTTGAAGCTCTTCATAGTTCGGTTAAGAGTAGCAACATTACTCGGTGATGATGATAGCTTGAGGGAATGCTCCTTCCATTCATCTACAATCCTTTTAAGAACAGCAACACTAGCTTCAAGATTCTCCTTATAGAGATTGTCCCAGTGCTTGCAACAATCAACGTTCTCGGTCACTGCCCATATAGCGACTGCTGACGCTTCCTTGGCTAAAACAGGATTACCTTCTCCACCTAATTTCAGAGCAGAAGTGAATATCTGTTGTGTGACTTGCTTCATCGCCTTGCTTCCTGGTGCACCGGCAAGAGCCACTTCTTTCAGTAAGGGATATACTGCCTCAAACCTCTCTGTTGCCTGTGTGCATCCGAGAGACAATGCTTGTGATCAGAAACTAACAGACGCAATCAAGCTTTCTTGATTTATAAGTTCCAACGTCTACTTCTACTTACCTTGACTCTTGCGGATGAGGCAGGGAATGTAAGCCGCACCAAGGTCTCAAATGAAGGAGGTGGAATCAATCGCTCTCCCTTCCTAACAGCTCCACTTACAAGTATTGTCCTAGCCTTTGGATTCGATGAAATTCTAATACGAAAAATTACATAAAAATAAGATTAAGAAGATTTGTCAAACATAAGACAAAAGGAGAACACAAGAAAACTGTTGACTCACTTCTCAACCAACTGCAAGATGAGATCTCTTGACTGAGGGTTGCAGCTCTTACTACCAGCTACAGGTAACAAGTTGTGTGCCCATGAAAGCAACCCTACGGATAAATCACCTTGAGAGGCCTATCCACATTCCACATTTTACAAAGATTTCAGAATACAGATCACAGAAGACACATATATCCACACAGGGAAACAAAATAACAAACCTGAGCCATCATCCACACTAAAACCGGAAGCTTGTCTTGACCTTGATACTTAGGATTCTCTCTAAGAGTAGGCAACACATTAGTCAACGCATCAGGCTTCCTACGCAATACCATTGCTAATGCAACAAATATTGCCACCTAATCATCAAACAAACATAACATACGCAAAGATCAGAGATCCATCAATCAAGGATCCAGATAAAAATGTTTTCCAAGACATTACCTGAGACTTGGAAGAAGTATGTTGTTGTGCACCTTTCTTGCCACCTTTAACACCTCCTTGATGTGCTGCTAAATCTGTAAGAATACAATCAAACGCCCACAGCACAAAGGATCCAAGAGCTTCAATAGGACGTTGGTTGATCCAATCAACAGATGTTTTGTAAACTGGCTCAGGGATATGAGACAACGGAACCTGTTGCAAAAAGTTATCAGCTTCACGAACCTAGACATCAATCACAATACAAAAACGTAGCTTACATCGATGAGTTTGGACAAAGGAGACTCCTTGAACATCTTCACCCAAGGAAACTGCACAGAACAAACTCCGGAAAGTGCCCTCCCAAAGTAATCAGCAAATCTCATCAGCTGAATCTCCGGCTGGTTCGCATACGATTCCTATCACCAAACACCAACAAAAAGTTCAACTTTTGATTTATGGGTTATCAATTTCATAACACAATTCAAAGAAAAGTTTGAAATTTGATTTGTGGGTTATCATTTTCTGATCAGAATTCAACTAAAAGTTCAACTTTTGATTTATGGGTTATCAATTTCATAACACAATTCAAAGAAAAGTTTGAAATTTGATTTGTGGGTTATCATTTTCAGATCAGAATTTAAAGAAAAGTTCAAATTTTGATTTGTGGGTTCTCAATTTCAGATCAGAATTCAACAAAAAGTTCAAATTTTGATTTGTGGGTTTACAATTTCAGATCAGAATTCAACAAAAAGTTTGAATTTTTATTTGTGGGTTATCAATTTCAGATCACAATTCAAAACCTTACCGTTGCTTCGATGAGGAAAGCTTCGAGATTCGAAGGATCGATCTTCGCAGCAGCTTCAGGCAAAGACACTTTCGGCTTCTTCTCCTTCTTGGCCTTCCGCTTCTTCTCCTTCTCCGCCTTCAGATTCTCCTCCGCCTCCTTCCTCGCCGCGATCTCCTCCTCGCTGTCATCGAAATCATACCCTTCGTCACCGTAACCATTGGATCTGCGTTTAGATCTGAACTCATCCTCCACATCTGAACCAGCCATCATCTTCGCCGCGAGGATCCGTTTCCTCCTATCCTCAGCTTGCTCCTCCAGCGAACGGAATACATTATCGCCGTTAGCTGCGTTTCCGTTGGGAGCATTTTTGCCGTTAGTCGCCGTCTGAATCTGATCGGCGGGTTTCTGTTTGCGGTTGCGTTTTGGGTAGACGACTTTCTTCCAGCCGTGGTCGACGTGGGAGTTAATCTCGAAGTCATTGTAATCGACAGATTCGATCGGATCCATTTTTAAAGTTTGTCGCTTTTGGATGATTCTGTTTTCTCTCCGGCGTGAAAAACAGTAGACGAGGAGGATTGACTCAAGGGGGAAGAAAATGATATTTATATAAGGACGAGTAAATAAAATAAATATCCTTAATTTGTCTTTTTTTTTTTTTTTTGTAACACATCCTTAAATTGTCTATAATGTACGTATTTGCCATTGTTAAACAGATTCTGAACCAATCGTTTTGGGATTTGGTTTTTGTTTCTGTTTTTTTGCTTTCTTAATCAGGTAAGTTGTTTAAGGAGTATTGATTCTTTTTTTTCTCCAAAAATCTAGAGAAAGGTAAAAGGAAAATTTGAGCCACTGTTTTTTAAAAGTATTTTCGAACATTTTGTTTAATGTAAATATTGTAGAACTGAGCAAAAAAAAATATCCAAATGATCTGAAAAAATAATACCAAAACCGAACCAAAATTAGTTAGTTAATCGAACGGGTTCAAAATTTTGGTGACTAGTAAATTGGAGTCGAATCCGCTCGAAATCGAATCCGCTTCAAACCCAAATATGTTGAATATCCGAACATATCTAATCATATTTATATATTAAATATAATTGTTTTAACATTTATCCAAATCTAAATCGAAGTGAACCCATAAATATTTAAAGATAATTTAAAAAGTTATCCAAATCCAAACCGAATGCATAAATATTTAAATTAAAGTCAAATTAGAGTTTATAAATATTTGAGTAAAACTAAAATATTTTATCTTGGAAATTTAAATTTTAATAGATCTAAATCGAATGGTATCTGAATGGACACCTCTTAATATAAACATTCTATATTTTGATCCTTGTTAATATAAAATATAAAATAAAATCTCTGTATATCTTCAGTTATTATTTTAGAAATATTGTAAAGTGATACATGACAATATTTTCCACTAGCATAACATTATATTATAATAATTAACATCATATTTTTTGTTCTTTCCATAGTTACAAAGCTTAATTTATAGCATAATCTTATACAAATGCCTTTCTTATTTTACTTTTACAAATCCCTCCAATACATAATAAAACTTTTATACCGTATAAATTAAAATGAACATATATTCAAAATATATCTTAAGTATAACTGTATAACGTAGATCACCATTCTCCAACTAAACACCATTGAGTTACTTTGGAGAGTCAAAGCTTAGGTAGTGGTGGTCGCTTCCTCCGCAGTTTTGCCGAATAATACTGGTTTGTAGAGCCAGTCATCAAAGCAAAAACCAAAAAGAAGGAAGTTCTTTGAGATGTCTTCATGTTCTTCCCCTGGTAAGTATCAATAGACCATACTAGTAGCTCTCTCTCTCTCTCTCTCTCTGGTTCTTATCAAAGTTTTATAAACTTTACAGGCTACTTCTATCCTTCAGAAAGTTACCGAGAGATCCATCTATTAAGTATATCCTTGGGACTAACTAAAAGACCATCCACAATCAAGAACGGTTACCTCAAGTACCCATTTGCAAAGCCAGAAGACTATAAGTCCACATGAACACAATGTAATGACTTGTGCAGGCTCTATTACCCAAAAGCATATAATAAACAGAAATAACTTTATTGTCATTATGGGGAAAATAAAAAGATGAAAAGAAAAAAAATTTATCTTTGACTCAAATTTAAACAGTCTAAATTTCTCAACACTGACTATAATCAGAGAGTTAACTCTGCTTATCATCCTCAAGTTGTTTTTGTTTCTCTCCTCTCTTAATTCTTAAAAGCTGTGATGATTGGGTTATAGTATTGGTGCAGCTCCAATGAGTCCACCAGGTTTTTCAGCTCGGATGTAGCCTCAGGGTTGGAAGACAGAACAGCTGCTCCTGCAGCAGCTAAAACCACAACAATGGCTGTTCCTTTGAGGAAGCCACTTCCACGGGAGAGTCTCCCTGATATCACTTTGCAGGATTTGTCAGCTTCTTTGTAAAGAGAAGCATTGTCTCTTCCTTCACTGATGGCTTCCTCGTTCTAAAACATCAAAGGTCAGGTCAGAGATGATATTACAAGCCAGTGGGGGGTATACTGACATCAGTTAGTTCAATAGAGTAAGAGGCATTAACCTTTAGCTTGAAGCTCTGCATGGTTCGGTTGAGAGTGGCAGTATTGGACGGTGATGATGATAGCTTGGGGAAATGGTCCTTCCATTCCTCTACAAGGCTTTTAAGAACAGCAACACTAGCTTCAAGATTCTCCTTATAGAGATTGTCCCAGTGCTTGCAGCAATCAACGTTCTCGGTCACTGCCCATATAGCGACTGCTGACGCTTCCTTGGCTAAAACAGGATTACCTTCTCCAGCTAATTTTAGAGCAGAAGTGAATATCTGTTGTGTGACTTGCTTCATCGCCTTGCTTCCTGGTGCACCGGCAAGAGCCACCTCCTTCAGCAAGGGATATACTGCCTCAAACCTCTCTGTTGCCTGTGTCCATCCGAGAGACAATGCTTGTGATCAGAATCAACAAACGCAATCAAGCAAGTTCCAACGTCTACTTCTACTTACCTTGACTCTTGCGGATGAAGCAGGGAATGTAAGCCGCACCAAGATCTCAAATGAAGGAGGTGGAATCAATCGCTCTCCTTTCCTAACAGCTCCACTTACGAGTATGGTCTTAGCCTTTGGATTCGACGAAATTCTAATACAAAATTTGCATTAAAAAAAAGATTAGATGATTTTTTCAAACATAAGACAAAAGGAGATCACAAGAAAACTGTTGACTCACTTCTCAACCAACTGCAAGATGAGATCTCTTGACTGAGGGTTGCAGCTCTTACTACCAGCTACAGGTAACAAGTTGTGTGCCCATGAAAGCAACCCTACGGATAAATCACCTTGAGAGGCCTATCCACATTCCACATTTTACAAGATTTCAGAATACAGATCACAGAAGACGCATATACCCACACATGGAAACAAAATAACAAACCTGAGCCATCATCCACACTAAAACCGGAAGCTTGTCTTGACCTTGATACTTAGGATTCTCTCTAAGAGTAGGCAACACATTAGTCAACGCATCAGGCTTCCTACGCAATACCATTGCTAATGCAACAAATATTGCCACCTAATCATCAAACAAACATAACATAAGCAAAGATCAGAGATCCATCAATCAAGGATCCAGAAAAAAGTTTTCCAAGACATTACCTGAGACTTGGAAGAAGTATGTTGTTGTGCTCCTTTCTTCCCACCTTTAACACCTCCTTGATGTGCTGCCAAATCCGTGAGAATACAATCAAACGCCCACAGCACAAAGGATCCAAGAGCTTCAATAGGACGTTGGTTGATCCAATCAACTGATGTTTTGTAGACTGGCTCAGGAATATGAGACAACGGAACCTGTTGAATAAAGGTATCAGCTTCACGAACCTAGACATCAATCACAATACAAAAACGTAGCTTACATCGATGAGTTTGGACAAAGGAGACTCTTTGAACATCTTCACCCATGGAAACTGCACAGAACACACTCCGGAAAGTGCTCTCCCAAAGTAATCAGCAAATCTCATCAGCTGAATCTCCGGCTGACTCGCATACGATTCCTATCATCAAACACCAACAAAAGTTCAACTTTTGATCTATGGGTTATCAATTTCAGATCAGAATTCAAAGAAAAGTTCAAATTTTGATTTGTGGGTTCTCCAATTCAAATCAGAATTTAACTAAAAGTTCAAATTTTGATTTGTGGGTTCTCAAAGTTCAAATTTTGATTTGTGGGTTCTCCAATTCAAATCAGAATTCAACTAAAAGTTCAAATTTTGATTTGTGGGTTCTCAAATTCAGATCAGAATTCAACTAAAAGTTTGAATTTTGATTTGTGGGTTATCAATTTCAGATCACAATTGCATGCACTTACCGATGCTTCGATGAGGAAAGCTTCGAGATTCGAAGGATCGATCTTCGCCGCAGCTTCAGGCAAAGACACTTTAGGCTTCTTCTCCTTCTTCGGTTTCTTCTTCTTAGCCTCCTCCACCTTCATCGTCACCGCGATCTCATCACCACTATCATCGAAATCATACCCTTCGTCACCGTAACCGTTGGATCTACGTTTAGATCTGAACTCTACATCCTCCACATCTGAACCAGCCATCTTCGCCGCCAGGATCCGTTTCCTCCGATCCTCAGCTTGCTCCTCCAGCGAACGGAACACGTTATCGCCGTTAGCTGCATTTTTGCCGTTAGTCGCCGTTAGATCGGCGGGTTTCTGTTTGCGGTTGCGTTTCGGGTAAACGACTTTCTTCCAGCCGTGGTCGACGTGGGAGTTACCGTTGGAGATCTCGAAGTCATTGTACTCCACAGATTCGATCGGATCCATTTTTAAAGTTTAAAGCTTTATTCGATGATTCTGTTTTCTCTCCGGCGTGAAAAACAGTAGACGATGAGAATTGACTCAAGGGGGGGAAGAAAATGATATTTATATAAGGGGACAGAGGACGAGTAAATAAAATAAATAACCTTTAATTTGTCTATAATGTACGTGTTTGCCTTTGTTAAACAGATTCTGAACCAATCGTTTTGGGATTTGGTTTTTGTTTTTTTCTTTCTTTCTTAATCAGGTATTTTAAGTTGTTTAAGGATTATTGATTTTTTTTCTCCAAAAATCTAGAGATGGGTAAAAGGAAATTTTGAAAAAATATCCCAGCCACTGATTGTAAAAAGTATTTTCAAACATTTTGTTTAAGTAAATATAGTAATACTAGACAAAAAACCTTGATCCGAAAAAATAAATAATACTAAAACTAAATTAAAATTGGTTAGATAATTGACTATGTTTAAATTTGGTTAGATAATTGACTATATTTAAATTTTGGTAACTATTGAATCGCAATCAGACCTGATTTAAATCAAAATATTTTAGATATTCGAACATATAATCAGATTTTGCCATTGACAACTAGGGGTGGGCGTTCGGGTATCCGTTCGGGTTCGGGTCGGGTATTTCGGGTTTTCGGGTATTTCGGTATTAGGGTTTAGAACCCGTTCGGGTATATTTACATATCGGGTCGGGTTCAGATATTTTTAGTTCGGATTCGGTTATTTCGGGTCGGGTTCGGATATTTAGATTTTAAAAGAAAATTTTCAAATTCTTTATTACATAAGTTTCATGTATTTGAAATTTGACTATTAACTTAACTGTTTTTAAAATGTTTAATAAGTTAGACGATTAATAAGTTTGAAAATAAATTATTGAAAATAAAAATCATTATTTTTGTTGTTATTTTCGAATTTTGGATTCAAATTTTGTTTAAAATATGAAATAAGAAGCTTAATATGCATTTTAAATGAGTAACAAATCATTTTTTACAATTATATATATATTATCTAATCTTAAACTATATATGACATTAATATAAATATTTTTAATAAAATGAGACAAATAAACTAAGAATAAATAGGTATATATACATATGTTCGGTTATCTTCGGATATTCGTTCGGGTTCGGGTATTATCCGTTCGGGTTCGGATATCCAAACTCTCCTAACTCAATATCCGTTCGGGTATTTTGCTAATTCGGTTCGGATTTCGGTTCAGATATTTCGGGTCGGGTTCGGGTATCGGATAAAGTGCCCACCCCTATCGACAACCAAAATAAACATCACAAACCCAAAACAAAGTTCTAACTAATCTGTATAATCAATCATCCATTCTTGAAATCAATCTTAAGAACTTGGTCATCAGTTATTCCATCTCCGCTAACACATATTGATTAAAAAATATTCACCTTAGCTTGGAATAGCATAATATATTCTGATCCTTTTTAATAGAAAATATAAAATAAAATCTCTGTATATTTTCAGTTATCATTTAGAGATATTGTAAAGTGATACATGACAATATTTTCCACTATAATAACACTGTAACTAGAAGATCTAAGTTTTGGATAATGTTTCTAAAGTCGGATCTTCCTCTCTTGTCAACAAGATCCTGGTTTCATTTGTATACATATTTTCGCTTGTAAAATAATTTATTAGCCACATAAATTAGATGGTTTCATTGTTATACGATTTTTTACTTGTAAAATTAGCTTCCACTCACTTATTAATAGGAATGATGTTAACTCTATTTCAATCTTTTATTTCGTAGTCACAAGATTCACAATTCATTGACTATTCTCACGTACCGCGCACAATTGTCAAAATGTGGAGACAATGATTTAGTTAGTATATTCATACAATGCATCGTCTTGATTTTTAAATTCAAATATCATTATGTACCTCCTTTTCAGATCTCCTCTTGTATTAAAACCTCTACATGTTAGTCACTACTTCTCCACACCGCCATAGACGTGCTTTCCACTTCCTTCTTCCTCACTTATACACACTCAGAGAACTCTAAGTTTATAACCCTGAACCCTAAAAATTATCTTAAATTACTGAGTTTGTTATGTCTCTTCTAGTTTTGGTTGTGTTTAAAGATAATTTAACCAATAACTAGATTTAGATTCGTAGGTCGAGCTGCGGTGTTATATCAATTTAATAAAAAATTTAAATTTGTTTAAAATAAATAAATTTTCATCTGAAATAAATTAATATTCAAATTTGAGTAACACAGAACTAAAAATAGTTTTCAGAGGATTTTGTTTTTTTCTTATATGTATATTTGCATATATGTTTATAATTTTTTTAATAATTGGTGATATATATAGTTATTAGTTGATATAAAATATCAATTAACCATCTAGATTAGATTTTTTAAATAACTCTATTTTAATATATTAAGAATTTAAGATAATCAAAACTCTTTTAAAATCACATATCAAAAATAACCCCTTAGTTTCTAACAAGGATTATGTTTTAATAAGATAAATATTTATTTTAGGTTAAATTTTTATAAAATATATAATCTTTGTTTTGTGTAAAGAGATTCCATTAAATAACAATTAAATTTGTATTACATAAATATATGTTCAGGACAAAACACGTTTCTCCCAGCGGTTGTCGGTGAATGTGACTTGTGAGTGGAATGTGTTTCTCTCCTGATTGTTGTTGTCGTTAAGGACCTTTTCGTGAAGTAGTTTTGTCCATGTGGAGAGTAAACGTTACAACATGTGATCTTAGAGTATAAGAAGGAGATCTTGTGACATTGGTGCGGTGTCTTCTAACGGCTTGAAAGCAGAAAAGGGAATTTCATCCAAAAAGGGGGAAATGAAGAGAATTATAGGCCAGCGATGACGGGCCCTCTTATATTTAGCAGACGATTGTTGGGCTGACATACGAAAAAACAAAAGGAGGACAAGACATTAATAAGCTCATGAACTGTTGTTAATTTTTCATCTATTGATTTTGAAAATGTTTTGTTCTAGTCGATTGAAGCCCTTTAATTTATTGAACATCTTTTTTTGAGCAACCATTTATTGGACATCTTGTTCATATTTGGAGTCCTTTATATTTTCCTCCCTATATTATTGTTTTCCATATACTCTTTCTAGTTTCCGGACCGAACTTTTTTTGCTAAATGTTTCCGGATAGAATTTATGTTTAAGTTTCTCCGATTTTACAGATCTATCTTAAAAGTAGTAAAAATACTTCTCTCTCTGTTCCTAAAAGATCCATGTTCTGGAAAAATATTTTGTTTCAAAAAGATGTATATTCTATGTTTTCAATGAGAAAATTACAAGTTTCAAAAAAATTAATTGGTTTTATTAGATTACTATTGGCTAAAAGTTGTTGAAAATTGAAAATTGAAAATTACTGAAAACGATAGTGATTTAATGTGTTTTCTTAATATGTATGAAAACACTAGAAAGTCTATTTTTTAGGATCAGAGAGAGTAATTCACAAGGTATATAACCAACTACAAGTATGTTATATGAGGAAAAAAAAAGAGAGAAAAACCTTACCTTGATGAATGTCTTTCCTTGTTGACTAAATCGTGTATGGTGAATGTGTCACCGACAGCTCAGTCATAAACAGGGCTGTGCCTAACATTTTCTAGGTTAGAAGCATATAATTTTTTTTGGCCCTTTAATTTGTTTTAATCTAAAATATTTAGCTTAAAATATATGATAAAAACAAAGATAATACATGTATGATGCCCAGTAGACTCAAACTCTTGAACTGCTTAGCAATAACAGCACACTCAACCACCACACTATTGACAATTTTATGTAAATTGACCCCAAAATAAATTATATTTTAATTGGCCCCGAAGCCAATGCTTGATCAGCTTTGTATCAAGCACGCCCTGGTCATAACAGTTTACTACTATGTCTCAAAAACCTTACCTTGGTATACACGTGTGCCATAGAAAATATCTCATCGCCATCGCATGTCTAATACTTGGCTGGCCATATATAGCGAGACAAAAACATTGTGTAGTTTAAACAGCGAGAGTAAATAAACAGTGTGTCGTTTTCGTGGTATGGAGAAAGAAGGGAAGTGAAGCACGGCAATAGTATTAGAACGCACGATGAGTTTGGTAGAGAGAGTACAAGTTGGTACGGAATCTTGGTGTGTGTATTTGATGATCCATTCATTTGTACTTTTCTTGTTTCTTCTGTCGCAAAGTTTCTTTTCCTTTTTTTAATCAAAACAGATTTTATCATCTATTTCTTGATTCGACCATGACGTTTCCCCTCACTTTACGACAACAACACACACAAAATGGCTGTAAAATAATATTCCCCATCACCGGCACAACAAGTAGCACTCCAGTCAGCTCTGTTTCTCTTGAAGAATTATTGTGTGAAACGTGTTTTCGAGACAAATAATACTACAAAAAAATCCACAATTTACGCCTGCAAATTGCGGAAACTTTCTCAGCTGAACCACCAATTTGCAAAAGGAAGGAATCAAATTGACACTTTAAACAAGTATAAAACAACTAAACCAATGGCAACTGAAAGTAGTAGACAAAGCCATGTTTGCCTGTACACACTAACAAATTCTATGCTCTAACATATGATGTTTGAATGCGGGATTGGTAAAGAGATCTGGTCTTGGGTGCATTCACAGAGATAATCAGCAAAATGACATGATGGGGAATATCAGAGAGTTGATTTCTCGGGCCAAAAAAAATGAATATTAATTTTATCAGAGAGTTGATTTATCAGCAGCTCTTGCTTTGCGTTTCTAGTTTATGTTTTAATTTGAAGTATTTGTTTTTATTTTGCTTTTGTATCTAGTAATTGAATATTTTTCAATATAGCATGTCAAACTTCAAAGATTTCGTAGCTGAATATTCGGCTAGTAATTGCATGAGCAGTAATAAATGAGTAATTGGTAAATAAATTCCATTCAAACACAACTAAATTTGTAGAGTATTTGCATTGTGTATACACACAAAACCATCAAATTAGCTATATACCCTATTTCCCCATTCTCTCTCTTCCTTCCCATTATTATTTTTTCCCCTAAACTAAGGCAAATTCCTAAATAACTTTTTTTTTTGGTATATTCAGCAAATTCACCCATTTGTATTGGACAAATATATGCTCAGGATAAAACACGTTTCTCCCAGAGGTTGTCGGTGCGTGTGACTTGTCAGTGGACTGTGTTTCTCTCTTGATTGTTATTATCTAACAAATATTTATTTAGTTAATATAAAATTATGATAAAATAAACAATTTATTTAATTTAGATTATATCTGAGAATATATCTTTATATATTTAAAATTATAAATAATACTAGATAAAATTTCATTTATTTTTGTGGTTAATATATAGAAATCAATTTTATCAAATTTTGTAGAATTATTAAAAAAATAAAATAAACAAAATTTATAAAATTTGTAGAAATCAAAATGAAACAAATGGTAATACAATTAAAAAAATTATAATTTTTTAAATGTATAAACTGTTTTTGGTAATAAAATGGTATGATTATTAAAATAGACTTAAATAATATTATAAAATTTATAAAATATTTATATTTTTATTATTATATATTTAATGTCATATTTGAATATATTTATTTTAATGATGATATATGAGTTATTATCCTATTCTAAATAGTTTACCAAAACAAAAATCAATGTTAAAATTCATTATCAATATCATATTTAGTCATAAATCATGTCATCAGTTCATATTTTTCAATGAAAATGACGGTAAAAATGATATGACTCAAATCACTTTCCTTATGAGATTTTTCATCTATTGATGTTAAAAATGTTTTATTCAAACTTAGATTCAGCCCGCTAAACTTTTAATCGATTGAAGTTAGAAGCCCTTTAACTTAACGAATCTCTTGTTTATATTTTCTACTTACAACAACCAACTACAAGTATGTTATATAAGGAAAAAAGAGAGAAAGAAATGGACAAGTATACTATATGGTGAATGTGTCACCGAGAGCTCAGTCATAACAGTTTACTACTATGTCTCAAAACTTCACCATGATGTACACGTGTCATTCAAAAAATATCTCATCGCCATAGCATGTCTAATACTTGGCTGGCCATTTATAGCGAGACAAAAACATCGTGTCGTTTAAGATTTGGTAAAAGTGCCGCCGTGTTGGATGAGGAGAGGTGGAAAGTCGTGGAAGGGACTTAATAAAACAGTGTGTCGTTTACGTGGTATGGAGAAAGAAAGGAAGTGAAGCACGGCAACAGTATAGAACGCACAAAGAGTTTACTAGAGAGAGAGTACTAGTACGGAATCTTGGTGTGTATTGATGATCCATTCATTTGTACTTTCCTTGTTTCTTCTATCGCAAAGTTTCTTTTCCTTTTTTAATCAAAAACAGATTTTATCAACTTTTTCTTGATTCGACCATGACGTTTCCCCCACACCACTACTTGACACTTTACGACAACAACACACACAAAAAAGCTGTAAAATAATATTCCCCAGCACCGGCACACCAAGTAACACTCCAATCAGCTCTGTTTCTCTAGAAGATTTTTTTTCCTGGGGCAATCTTTAGAAGAATTATTGCGTCATAATAAACTGAAAACGTATTTTTCGAGACCAATAATACTAAAAAAGTCCACAATTTTTCGGGGATATCCGATAAAAAAAAAGTCCACAATTTATGCCTGCAAATTGCGGAAACTTTCTCAGCTGCACCACTTGCTAGAAGAAAAAATCAAACTGACTCTTCAAACAAATACTATAAAACAACCAAACCAATCGCAGTTGAAAGTAGCAGACAAAACCATGTTTGCTTGTACACACCTAACAAATTCTTATGTTCTAATCGTTTTTTTAACACATTCTTATGTGCTAATCTAAGATCAATGCAAAATCTTTTTTTTTGTGATCAATGAAAAAATCAAGAAAAGAAATTTGAAACTTTTTTATTTCCGTTGAATGAAAGACATAAAAAAAAGGCTTCATTAATGCCACTGGAAGCGTTTTGACAATTGGAATCGAATCATAAATGCAAAAATTAAAAGAAACATAAAAACTGATCTTGTCTTGTCTGAACAAGAAAACAAAAAGCTTTTAATGGGTGGAGACTTTGAGGCTGAAGGACTTGTTGATCCAAGCTTTAAAGCTTCCTCCTTTCCTTGCTCCGTTACCTTCCTTAACAACAACCTTCTTCTCCTCTGGTTTCTTACACAGAGTAAAGTTCCTCGCACCAAGCGATCCAATTGCATTCCACGCGCTCAAAGCTGTATCACAATTAAACCAAAACCGGTTTAGTAAACCAATTCGATTGATTAAAAAAAAAAACAATTCAGATGGTTAAAAAATTGATTCGGTTTACCTTCAGGTCCAACCATGGGACAGTAAAGAAGAAAGTCATTGAAGTCGGATCCGAGAAGAGGAAGACGACCTTCACGAGCGTAACACTTGAGAGCAGTATCAATAACAGAAGCGACTAAATCTTCTTCGTAAGCAACGAACCGGATCGGACCGGCGCTACCGAGAACGGTTACGCTGATAAGGATCCGGTTTCCTTTAGCATTCTTCTTCTGCTTGTTGTATAGCAACATCTTTTGATAGTGATTTAAAGAAACAAAAACGGTAGATCCAATAAAATCAAAAGAGAAACCCTAAGAAGTCAAGATTAGGGTTTCTAGAGGGGATGAAGAGATTTCACGGGTCGAGGCCGATGCAGCGGAAGTACCAGCCTTCTTTGCAGGAGCCGAAAGCGAAAGCAGAGGAAGCAGAGAGAGGAAGGAGGAGGAGGAAGCTCGCCCTTTGGATTTGAAGGGAAAGCGTAAACTCACCACTGATCGGATTCGTTTCCACCATTCACAAACGATTCCACACGAAAAATTTGAGATCGCAGTCAAGCAAAGAAGAACTTGCAGAGAGAGGTTGTGAAGAAAGAAGAATTATGAATGTGATTGTTTTTGGAGCTGAGGGGTATGAGTATATAAATAGGTTGGTTTAGGGCTTAGGGTTATTTTGGTAATTTTGGGAGTTGGGGATTTTCCTTTTCTGTTGCCGTTTTGATGCTGTTTCCTTTTTTTTTTGTTCTGTTTTATTACAAAACGTGCGTTTTTTTCTCTCTTATTGACGTGTTTAGTTTTGTTCCGTGTATGTACCGAGTAGGAATCAGGAGTACGAGAGTATTGGTTAACTAAATAAATTAAAGCAGACTCGGTTCGGTTAATTTACAATTGAATGTTTAATTTTTTGAGTATTGTTTGTTTATGATATGCTTTTTGTATTATGAAAATTATGCAATTGTTTATTTTGGCTAATCCAGGTATATAATTATCAAATTCTGTGTTACTGTTATTATTTTAAATTTAAACTAATGGTTTTATTCTTGGAACACAAACTTATAAATGTTATTTAAAATTTTGAACTAAGAAAAATTATATATTTGATTGTAAACAAGAAAAAAACATTACAAATTTACATATATAAAAATACGTTATATGTTTAGTTTAGATAAATAGTAAAATAATTCAGACAGAAGAAACACTCGAACTAAATAGATTTATATTATATAAATTAAAATCATGTTATTAATATTCTAGTTTTAGATATAGTTTTAGCACACCCAAAATCTTAACCAAATTTCAAAACGTGATACAGGGTGATAGAAAGGGGACAATTCGAAATACGTTTTCAGGATGTTAGAGCATGTACATCAATGAACCCCTCTTGGGGTTCATCTTTTTAATATTTTATTATTTTATTTTTTTTTTGTCAGATTTTTTTTTTTAAAAAAAAATAATAAAAAATTAGTTGAACCAATTCCCTTCCGACACGTGGTGAACTCTACCCTCTTGGGGTTCACCGGGATGAACTTTTGGAGAGAGAAGTTCATCACTGTTCATCTAGAAAACTGTGTGAACCTCCTTATAAACTCCTTATGAACCCTCAATGCACATGCTCTTAGAAAGTAATATTAACCAAGCATTAACAATCATACGTTTCTTAAAAAAAAAACAAAAGCGATATGTGGTTCCATCGTCTATAATTGGCAAGTCATTCGAATTGAACATTCGAGCTGTGATTAGTTTGGCACACACGTACTTATAATAGATGTTGGAATATAAATACGGAAATTTGCTAGATAGTGTCTCACTAAAACTTATCAGAATATGAGTTATATATAAATTATATATATTCTGCTAAAATATTTACAACATGAACACAAACAAATAATCGAGAATCTGGACGGCTATAGCTGAAGCCTGTATATAGGGAACATGATGAAGTTGATTTCTTTCGAGACTCTTATACATATAGAATTCTCTCCTTTTTGGGTAAAATTTAAAGTGATAGATGGTACACAGTCGTTATCGAAGTTGATCAACATTAAGTGGCACTAGCAAAAAGAGCATCACGTGTCATGCGTTGGGCCATTGTCCTGATCCTTGCTGCTTTTAGGTTCCACCGGTATAAATCTCCCATAGTAAACTTGAGAAAGTTACGTTTCCTTTACGTAAGAACTTAATAATTCTTAAAAGAAATGAGTCATCATCTATATGGAATAATAATTATAATATTCCAGAGCATAAAAGTCAGAAGTCCGAGGAGAGGAGAGTTGTACCAAAATTCATCTTTTGGTTGCTGGTGATTTTTCTTAGCTACACGCAACATTAGCAACATCTTAACATGGTTAAATTATAAATAGCACTCTCAACAGGTTTACGTACCTTGATTCGTTGCATATACCTAAATACATTTTTTTCTATAGGGACTGGTTATTAACGGTAGGGTCGATTAGTTAATTGGCCACAGTATGTTTCATGTTTGTTCTTCATTATCTTTAACTTTTTTGCTAAGAATCTTTTAACTTTTGGAAGCGTTGAAATTCAAAATATTTCTTAGTTGAGTTAGCCAGTTATGTGGATTTTAAGTCAACACAAAGCAGAAAACCTATCATTGTCTTACATGGACAAAAAAAAGTTACGTGAAAATTAAAAAAAAAACTAATAATTTTGTATTAGTAGGCTTAAAATAAAAACAAGTTACGTCATTAAAATATAATCAGTCTAATTAATAATTTATTTACAGTATAATCTCTTTAAATTAATATCTATAAATTAATATCTCTATAAATTAATATAATTTCATAGTCATAAATTGAGTTTTTGGTTTAATTAATATCTCGATAAATTAATAATTTCTATAAATTAATAAAAAATTTAGTTTTGGTGTAGTTCCAACATTATTAATTTATAGAGATTTCACTGTAATTGGGTTAAACGAATAAATTTCCAGACAAACGCGGTAAATTGAAGCAAAAAAAAACAAAGACATGATTATTTAGGAACGGCGGACGACAATCTCTAAACAGATGTCGAATCTTTTGCATCGAGATCTTTTTTTTTTCTTTTTTTTTGTCACTGTTGCATCGAGATCTTATCCTATGAAAAGTGCACTCAATATTATCATACTAGAAGATAATCCGCGCCATGCGCGGAGTGAGCTTTTTAAAAATATGTTGTATTTAAATATATATTTTGCTATCATAATTTTTTTACATTTGATTAGAGATAGGCATTTGGAAACCATTTGGTTCGGTTAGATTTTGTTTGGTTTAGATCTTTGCGGTTTAGTTCGAATTTTTGCAGGTTCAGATTGGGTTTAGTTTCGGATAATCCATTTATTTTTTTATAAAAAAGATTGAAATTCATATATACTTTAAAATTTTCAAAATCTAAAAGTAAAAAATAATATATAACATATAAATTTGAAAAATGAATGCCAAAATACTTAAACTTAACATAAATTTGCTTTATCATAAATATTTGGAAAAAAATAAATAAATATTTTAAATATTTTTGGTATTTGGAGTATCGTTTAGCTATTTTTTAAATATGCATTTAACTGTTTTATATATTTCTAAGTATTTTGGAACATTTTAAAAAATATATTAATATATTTAAGTATATAAATCTGGTTCGAGCACTTGGATACCTGAAATATTTCGATTCAGTGTTTGGTAATCTAAATACCAAAATTTTGAATCCGTTTGGATATCTAACCAATTTTGGTTAAAAATTTGTACTACTTTTTGGATTAGATTTGGTTCGGTTATTTGGATTCAGTTTTTTTTGTCCAACCATATATTTTTTTTATTATACCAAAAATTTAAACGAAAGGGATGATGGTTCATACTGATTTCGGGTATGCAACAATTTTTAAACAAAACACACTCTATTGTGCGTGATTTATTTAGTTAATCAATATAAACTATTTAAGACCCATTAGAAAAACGATTGGCTGAACTAAAAAACTTTATCATTGATCAAAAAAATTTCAAGGAAAGATTTTTACCATTTTTAATAATTTATGGTCGTTTTAAAAAATTCAAAATATAACATATAAGAACAAATCTAATTTTTTTATCATAGGATCAATGTGATTTTTTAATTTCTTTTAATAATATAAAATTAAATAAAAAGTAAAGAGGATAAAAAATGTTATCAAATCTTTATTGTTCATAAACATTAACTGTGATATATATGTTAATCATATTAGGTAATTCCGTAGATTTTATTTAAGGAAAGAATAAGGAATATTCTTTTGTACATTACTAATCAAATATGATAGTTAGTATAATAAAAATACAACATATGTTTAGTTGGACCAACATATTTCTCTAAGAGTTATGAAAATCATTATCATTGTGACACGTAGGTACAAAAAAATTGTTGTAATGTTCCATGATTAATATATAGGACATTTATTAATAAAAAATATTATATGTGAAATATTTAAATGTTTTATTAATTTATAGTCG